CATATATATATATAAGTATATATGTATATATATATATGTATATATATATATATATATACATATATATATATATATATAAAAGAACGTATATATATACACGTTCTTATATATATATATATAAGAACGTATTTATATATATATGAACGTATATATATATACGTTCTTATATATATATATACATATATATAGGGGAAAGATCAAGTACAAAGTGTGCTTATTGTGCAAATATTTGTACGATGCACCTTGACGTTATTTGCATTGCATATTGAGGTTCAAAGTATTGCACATTATAAAGTCATAAAAATAGCAGTTGCACATTAAGGTGCAACGAGTTGCACCCAAAAAAGATGAGTTTTATTACAAAAATGCCACCTTGCCTTTATGTCCTTTGGATCAACTCATCGGACGGTCAAGATGAGTTTGTACTTTGTAAATTAAGAAGACTTTGTATTTGATCTCTATTCTATATATATATATACATATATACACACACACACACATATATATATATATATATGTACATTTATATATACATATATATGTATACATATATATAGGGTAAGGTTCAAGTGAGAAGAACCCTTTGGGTGAGAAATGAGAATGAATCTCAACCATTGGATTCGACTAAGTTGCAGTAAAAGACACTTAATGATGCACTGAAATATGCAATCTAGCACGGTGGCATTTCTGTAAATACTTCTGAAAAATCTGTAATACACGTGTCTAGTGCAACATGAAGCTATTTCGGTGCAACACCATCAAATATTAGTGCAACATGAAATAGTTTTAGTGCAACATGTGCAAAATTTAAATATTACTGCAACATAAAGCCAATTTTAGTGCTAACCTACAAACTATCAAAAACGGTGCATCTTTACATTATTTGTACTGCATATTGAAGTTCAAAGTGTTGCATATTATTTGTATTGCATATTAAAGTTCAAAGTTTTGCATATTGTTTTTATTGCATATTGAAATTCACAGTGTGCATCTTTACATTATTTGTACTGCATATTGAAGTTCAATGTGTTGCGTATTATTGAGTTAGTAAGTTAGTATTTTAAGCATGGTTAGTATGTGATCTCTTATCTATATATATATATATACATGTATACATATATACATACATATATATATATATGTGTGTATATATATATATATATATATATATAAGAAAGAGATCATGTCCATCCAGAAGGACAAAAGGCTCCGTCTGTCTGCCGCAGCTTGGGGCAGTACCCGGTTTGAAATTTTTCATGAATTTTTTAGAGAATGTTCCTCATCAAGTCTAGTTTATCCACACAAAATTTTAGCTACAAATTCAATCGTGAAGATCGTCAAATAAAATTTTGAAAATAACTGTGTTTTCATGAAAACATCCCACAAGGAATAGGCCCAAAACGCCGCTGTTCGGACAGTGAATCTTGTGAGGAATTCCGGACATGAATATTTCTTTCTCTATATGTAACACATAATGCACATTACACATCTATTTTCTATCACCACTTATATTTTGTATTATAAAACTAAATTCCATTAGTGTTGTTTGAAAATAAATAATGATAACTAAATTAAATCACGTATTGAGATAACTACGGATGCAAGGCAGCCAGCGTGCCAATGGACACACCCCCTGCATGTACGTGTCACATACTTTGTATGAATGTATGATCCATAACTTAGTTCAAAACTTCAAATTAGTAGCCTCTCACACTCCGTATATATTACTACGTACTATATATATACTATCGTATTAATTATACTACGTGCCTATGTACTCCGTATTAATAAACCATTTAGTCTAGCTTCAACAACATTATATTGTTCTTGATCTTCATTCATCATTAGTTTCACCCCAAACCCTAGGGCCACAACAAGTGCGGGACTGAATCCCAAAACCCATGTACCAACCAGTCCAAAGCCCTTGGGCCTTGGCTAGCAAGCATTATAGGGGGTTGTCTCCTGCTTCCTACCAGTCAGTCCCTTTCCTAGACCACGTCGGCGTCGCCTTCACCATCGTTAAATCGCTTGATCCAGGATAATCCTCATCACAGGATTCATGCATGTCTTGCCGGACTCTTTCGACATGTTGCGGTCGAGTTTGCTCGATTGCCATGGTACGTCGTACTTAATTACATGCTAAAAATATAACAATTTGATTTTAGTGTGATGTTATGTTTTAAATATATAGTTTAATTTGGAAGTTGGTTGTTTTAAATATATAGTCGGAGGTGTTGGGCTTTCCCTTGGAGCCACAAGCAATAGTTGCAGCATCAAAGGACTTATTGTTGCACTATGCTTCCACCAGATGTTTGAAGGGATGGGACTCAGGAGCTCCATTTTGCAGGCATGCATTTTCAATTCTGTACTAGTACCTAACAAAATTCATTTAATTAATTGCAAACACATCCAATTCATTTAAATATGTGGAAGCTAAGGTAGTGGTCTGATAATTAGGATGATAAAGCAGTCCTCTTAAATTCTTTTTTAATTGCAACCTAACGTTCCAATTTTCACATTTGTCCACACACAATTCACTATTCCTTATTAATACAAATTAAAAAATTCAAATTGTGAAAAAAATCAATGAAATGCGATCAAAGTAGGGCATGCGGATATAGTAAAACGCTCCAATATTACAACTAAAAAACAGAGGTAGTAATACAGTAGCGAATATATAATGCAACATAATGTCAAATATCGTACCGATCTACACTAAGCTTATTCAGAATAAAAAGAACATTTTAAATTTAGACTACCGTAAGGCAAAATTAGACAAAATTAACATTTTAATTAATACAGTATTGAACATTTTTATTAACATTTAAGGAAAAATTAGACAAAATTTAGACAAAATTAACTAAATTAATTAACACGGAGATATAATTGAAATTTCCGAAGTATACATATGGAGGGCAGAAAAAACTTCTACTCCCTCCGTCCCAATTTGTTTTGCAAAGTAAACAATTTTTGGTCAACCAATAATTAAAGTCTACCCTCCGTATGGATAATTAATTCAATTTTTAATAATTAAAATTTACATATTCAAAAACTATATTATATTAAAATCCCTTCAAAGTTATAAACTCCAAATTAGAATATAATTAAAAATTGGCATCGTAATTAAGTGAACAAAACGAGACTGTTTGACTAAGAAAAGTCAAATTTGCAACTCTTTTTGGGATGAAGGTGGTAATATAATATGAGTATATAATACTCCGTACACAGTACTATAATAGCTCAAAAAGAAAAGAAACAGGAGCAATATCGTAGAAGTGGAAGGAGCAATACATGAAAGCCGGCAGCCGCAAAACAATAAAGACTAAGAAGCTGTTCCGTTCACCTGATCTGAATGTTTCTGATCTGAATTTTTTAAGTTCTGATCTGAATTTTTCTGATCTGATCTGATCTGATCTGAATTTTTCTGATCTGATCTGATCTGATCTGAATCTTTCTGATCTGATCTGAATCTTTCTGATCTGATCTGAACGTTGCTGAACTGATCTGAATGTTGCTGATCTGATCTGATCTGATCTGAATGTTTCTGATCTGATCTGAATGTTTCTGATCTGATCTGAATTCTTCTGATCTGAATCTTTCTGATCTGATTTGAATATTTCTATAATTGTAATTATAATTATAATTATAATTATAATTATAATTGAATATTATATTATATTATATTATATTATATTATATTATATTATATTATATTATATTATATTATATTATATTATATTATATTATATTATATTATATTATATTATATTATATTATATTATATTATATTATATTATATTATATTATATTATATTATATTATATTATACTATACTATACTATACTATACTATACTATACTATACTATACTATACTATACTATACTATACTATACTATACTATACTATACTATACTATACTATACTATACTATACTATACTATACTATACTATACTATACTATACTATACTATACTATACTATACTATACTATACTATACTATACTATACTATACTATACTATACTATACTATACTATACTATACTATACTATACTATACTATACTATACTATACTATACTATACTATACTATAGTATACTATACTATATTATACTATATTATATTATACTATATTATATTATATTATATTATATTATATTATATTATATTATATTATATTATATTATATTATATTATATTATATTATATTATATTATACTATATTATATTATACTATACTATATTATACTATACTATATTATACTATACTATATTATACTATACTATATTATACTATACTATATTATACTATACTATATTATACTATACTATATTATACTATACTATATTATACTATACTATATTATACTATACTATATTATACTATATTATATTATATTATATTATATTATATTATATTATATTATATTATATTATATTATATTATATTATATTATATTATATTATATTATATTATATTATATTATATTATATTATATTATATTATATTATATTATATTATATTATATTATATTATATTATATTATATTATATTATATTATATTATATTATATTATATTATATTATATTATATTATATTATATTATATTATATTATATTATATTATATTATATTATATTATATTATATTATATTATATTATATTATATTATATTATATTATATTATATTATATTATATTATATTATATTATATTATATTATATTATATTATATTATATTATATTATATTATATTATATTATATTATATTATATTATATTATATTATATTATATTATATTATATTATATTATATTATATTATATTATATTATATTATATTATATTATATTATATTATATTATATTATATTATATTATATTATATTATATTATATTATATTATATTATTATAATATAATAATAATTTTATATTATTAACATTATTATTATATTATTATTAATAATATTATTATATTAATATATTAATATTATTAACAATAACTATAATATAATAATCATAATTAATATAATAATAAAAGTGATAAATCATGTTTGAATTTTTTGATCTGATCTGATCTGATCTGAATGTTTCTGATCTGATCTGAATGTTTCTGATCTGGTCTGATCTGGTCTGAATCTTTCTGATCTGATCTGAATGTTGCTGATCTGATCTGAATCTTTCTGATCTGATCTGAATGTTTCTGATCTGATCTGATCTGATCTGAATCTTTCTGATCTGATCTGATCTGATCTGAATAAAATAAGATTAAGGAATAAGTAATAAGATTAAGACGAACGGAACAGCTTCTAAAGGGTCAAATATGTCCTTGTAACCGTTTCAAATTGCTCAATTTGCCCCCTGAACCCAAAAATACTTCAATTTGCAGCCTGAACTCGATAAAATGATCCAAATTTCAGTTTTTGCAGGTTTGAATCCGGTCACCCGGTAGGGTGCCAACTGTGCATGTGACGTGGCAACTTAAGGGGTCAAATAAACCCCTGAACTCGACTGAATTGCTCAATTTACCCCCTCAACCCTAAAAAAGGTCAAAATTTTCAAAAAAATAAAATAATAAAAAAAATAAAAATAAATAATAATAATAAATAATAAATAAAATTATAAATAAAATACATGTCAGAAATATAAAATATATTAATTTGAAATATTTATCATTAAGGGTAATTCTTTAACTTTATTTCCATATTTTATAACTACTACTTATATTTTATATAAGAAATAAACAGTGTATTTTTACCATCTATTTTAAAATTTTATTTTATGTATAATATCTAATGGTTTGTAATATAACACAAATTTTAGGTTTTGGTTGATAATTTATACAAAGCATTATGTTTAAATTATCCATTTGTAGTTTTTCATTTCATATTTTTTAATTTATCTAAAAATATACTAAAAGTATATAACAATTTTTATGTAACTACTTTTAATTTTACGAAGTTACTAATTACACTTGTTTATATCTATAGAAATAAGAATTAAAATATAAAAATATTAACTACATGTTCATGTTATTTATTTTAAATATATTGAAGTCTTTTTTACGTATTGTAGATAAGAATTAATTTCTTTTAGTTTATATATTATTTCAGAATTTCTTTCTTTTGAATTTACCAAAAATATAAATATTTCATATTTGTATTTTATATTTTCGATTAATTTTTTTATTCTATTTTTATTTTCCTTATTTATTTCTATTTTTCGTAATTTGACTTTTTTTTTTAGTTGAGGGGGTGAATTGAACGATTTAATTAGGTTCAGGGGCTTATTTGACCACGTCACATGCCCAGTTGGATCCCTACGTGGTGACGTGGTGATCGGATTGTAACTTGCAAAAAGTGAAAGTTGGATCTTTTTATTGAGTTTAGGGTGCCAATTGAACCTTTTTTGGGTTCGGGGAGTAAATTGAGCAATCCAGAAGGGTACTTGAGCCTATTTGACCCTTTAGCCCACAAAAATTACAATTGTCCAACTATGAACTATATAACAAAAAATGGGCACGCGTGTGGCATGGAATAAGATAAGTGTGGCTTGAGTAAGAATAAGTGTGGCGTGGGTAGAAGGCCATGTGCTCAAGGGATTAGCCACAAAGATAGGATCATTCAACCTCACATACACTTCGTACCTAGCTAGTAGTTTAGTACGAGTATATACGATAGTAGGATATACTACCTCCGTTCTCTTTTAAATGCAACGTTGGACTTTTTGCACTATTCACATGTTCTACTTTGACTACGTTTTATTTATTAATGTAATAATATATATTTTTGAAAAAAATATTGTTAAATTTTTCTCATTATAAATTTTCAGAATCTATTTTTTAAACGTTTTTTACTAATCGGGAATTATATATATTAATGGTCAAAGTTGTGCCTCGACAAATGTGAAATGCTGACTGTTGCATTTATTTAAGAACGGAGAAAGTACCAAGTAATATATACTCCGTACGTACGTATGCTAATGACTGCGTGTGCCAGCCTGCCCCTCACATACTCCCTGCGTATTCAGTATTCTCCATCATATCGATCAGTTAGTTACTTTGTTATATTTACTTATATATAAGCCTCTCACGACACATACGTACGTACTCCCTACCGTATAGATACTACATATATACTATATACGTATAAATCACATATCATCCGCTTCCTAAAGGATCCCTGATATAATTAATTAAGCTATGGCGGAAAAGAAGAATATAGCTTCAGCAGCATTGTTCTTCATCTTCATCATTATATTCACAAATGCACCCCAAACTCTAGCCCAAGGCCACAGCAAGTGCGGGACTGAATCCGATAACCCATGCACCGACAAGTCCAAAGCCCTTGGCTTGAAAATCATAGCCCTCGTATGCATACTGTTCGCGAGCGTTATCGGGGTTTGTCTCCCGCTCATCACCAGCTCCGTCCCTGCCCTACACCCCGCGGGCGTCGTCTTCACCGTCGTTAAATCGTTTGCTTCCGGGATAATTCTCGCCACTGGATTCATGCACGTCTTACCGGACTCTTTCCACATGTTGCGGTCGAGTTGTCTCAGTGACAGCCCGTGGCATCGGTTTCCATTTAGCAGTTTTGTAGCCATGTTATCGGCCGTTGTTACCATGGCCATCGACTCCCTTGCCACGAGCATGTATAGGAAGAAGAACGCCGCCGAATCTCCCCGGGACGCGGCCAGCCAAAATGTGGAGATGGGATTTACCTCAGCTGACAAAGGAGTCCAAGTGGACACTCAAATTTCACGTTCTAGAGTGATTGCCATGGTATTAATTAATTAATTACATGCTAATTATATTAAATACTCCGTATATAATTAAGTTGATTATTTTATGTGATGTGATATGATCTTTTCGTTTAATTTGGAAGTTGTTTTTTATAAGGGAAAAGTACTCTAATATTACTAAAACTCATGAGTTTTCGCCTTCTAAGAATATGACCATATATGACCAAATGGAACATCGATCACATACATGGCCGGCTGGAATGATGAAAATAAATAACCAATAATGACCTTATGCATATACGAACTAATTCCTTATTTTTAGGAACAATAATTAATGCAGCCTAATGTATGCTTTAATTTCTCTTCATCGTAAATAAGGATATGCTGCAAAAGAAAGTAATTATTTGAAAAGCAATGGCCGATAGTTTAGGTAATAATAAAATGAGCATTAACATAAGGCACTGAATAACATAGGCAGTAAAAACCTGTTAACATACATGTCCATGCATGGCACATGCATGTGTGCGCTGTACTCATCCAAGCCGCAAGTATAGGTTGACTGAAGACTTCCTGACTTCCCTTACTATTCGGCCATATATGTTGTTGTGTTTATTAATTAGAGTTTATCTCTTATTATTATTATTATCCCATACGTAGCTTATCAAGTACATTTATGTACGTTTCTATACCGATAGGAATAGTCAGTTAGCAATCTTTATCTGTACATTTTATGAGGCCAACTCAAGTGTATATATTCATACGAAGGAATGAAATGAAGGATACGTGGAATTCCAATTAAACCTTTCAAAAAAACATAGGCAGTAAAATAATGAAATATTCAGTAATAAATGTTGACGTGTGAGCATAGGCACTAAATAGAGGACAATAAAGAAATGGGCATTAACATAAGACAATGAATAACATAGACAGTAAAATCCTTTTAAAAAAACATAGGCAGTAAAAATCATGAATTATTTAGTAATAAATGTTGACGGGTGAGCATAGGCACTAAATAGAGGACAAAAAGAAATGGGCATTAACATAAGACAGTAAATAACACGAACAGTAAAATAATGAATTATTTTATTCGTTAGTAAATATTTGCATTCTATATATGATCCATAAATTAAATAGACAGTAAATATAAAAATATAATTAATTGTTTAAGAGGGTAGTAAATGTGTATGAGGGCACTATTGTTTGTAGTACGTATAACAACAACAACAACAATAACATAATTTTAATTTATATAATGGAAGCAATGTCTCGGTAGTTACATAAAGAAGTAGTTCCTTATTTTTAGGAGTCTAATTAATAAATATACATGCATGCGGTGGAAGGCTAATGGAGTCCTTAATTTTAGGAGAAATAACTACTTATTCATTATTGTGCTGAGGACATTGGTGGAATAAAAAGAAAATAAAGAAACGCGGACGACCAAGTACATTATGCAAGTATCACATTAGGGAAAAAAGTGAAGAAGTCATAGATTGGGAATATCATGTTCTTTTAGTCATAGGAGAGTTAATTTTCTCATTTTATAAATGTGTGAAAGGTATTGGAGATTGGGATAATAGTCCATTCAGTGGTGATTGGGCTTTCTCTAGGAGCTTCAAGTAACACTTGCAGCATTCGGGGATTAATTGCTGCTCTCTGTTTTCATCAAATGTTTGAAGGAATGGGACTTGGAGGCTGCATTCTGCAGGTACATGCTTAGATTAGATTCAACCCTTTACAATCAATAAATTCATAATTTCAAAGTCTTGTTAAACAATAATGAATGTCTAATATATGCAAATAATGTCAAATATCGTACTCTACAGTAAAATTTACTTAATAAAAAGAAATTTTGAAAAGTTTTTTAGGAACGGAGTTAGTATTGATGTATTACAAATTTATCACATAAATGCCCGCATGCAGGCGCAATACGGTTTGTTAAAGAAGGCGAGCATGGCGTTTTTCTTCTCAGTGACAACGCCCTTGGGGATAGCGGTGGGGATAGGATTATCCAACACATATAAAGAGAGCAGTCCCCGTGCTCTTATCACCGAAGGGTTGCTGAACGGATCATCCGCGGGCCTTCTCATTTATATGGCTTTGGTAGATCTTCTGGCTGCTGATTTCATGGGCCAAAAGCTACAAGGGAGCATCAAGTTACAGATGTATTGTTTCATGGCCGTGCTTTTGGGATGTGGTGGGATGTCTATCTTGGCCATGTGGGCTTAATTAGCTAGTTAGGTTCATGCCTGCATGATTGGTGATCATGAACTCTTTTATTTATGGTGTAGAATTATTTTAGTAATAAATATATACTTCCTATTTATTTATTCATTCCCATTGAATACATAGTTTTAGTTTTGTTTCAATAATTATCATTAGGATTGTTCATCAGATTTATTCTTATTTTTATACTCCCTCCGTCCCCTTTTAAATGTCCCGTTTTACTATACTGGGATGTGCCTATTTAATCGTCTCATACCTTATTTGGTAAAGTTTGTGTGGCTCAAAATCATTCTTACTTTATTCTTACTTTATTCTTACTTTATCAATTAAAATCAACCGTACAAACCCACTTTTCTTAAAACTCGTGTCACCTCTTCTGTCCCAATATAAAAGGGACGGAGGTAGTATATATCTACTATGGTCTTGAGTGTTTTGTTTTCTTTGTATAAATGACTCCATCCAGGTCAAATGTCATATTTTGTACTCCCTCCGTCCCCGCTGTTATTGTCCCGTTTCCTATTCACTTGGTCAATACAAATCATTCTTAATCTCTTACTTTATGTTTCAAATTTTTATCAAACCTGATTCAGGTATTTGCGACTTGGTAAAGCTTTTAATGTAATTTCTGAATATGTAATTTTTATCCCTAAAAATAATTTGAATGCGGATAGAGATCTATTTACTTTATCGTCGGTCAAGCATCATAAACCGCAATGGGACAATAACAGGGGGCGGAGGTAGTAGTAGAATTTCCCTGTCTAGTAATAAAGTTTGTAACAGATATTAGTGAACATATATATGGCCTCAAAATTAAAGCTTGAGTTTTTGTAGAGCAGTTGGCTGTAGATCGATTATTTTCTCTTAATGGATGGGCTTGCACAGGCTGCTCATAATAAAATGAGGCGATTACATGCTATTACTGACTCTGAAATTTTATGCAATCAGGGTAGTGTTATATATTCTAAAGACCTATACTTTTGTTTGGTTATTATTTATGATGCCATTTTGAGCAATGAATGAACTAAAAGTGTTGCTTTATCTCATGAAAGATTATTTGTATACTAAGAAGTTATGACCTTTCATCTGTTGTTTCTAATCAAAATAGTGTAGTGAATATTCATACATGGCAATAGCCAGGGTAAAATAGGTAGATTATTGTGTGAATTGATAAGTCAAACTGGGTAGGAAAAATTAGGATTACAAATTTAGTGCAGCAACAGATTCTCTAAATCAGCTGGATGCTATCAAGTTAGAAATTAGGACTAGTTTATAGAATTTTATGTAATTATATATAGACATACAGAGTGATTTTAAATAGAATACGGAGTTCTCCATAATATTTTATAGCGTAAATACTGTTTCACACTTTTGGTCACTCAAATATTTACCATATTGAAATGTACTGTCAGACCTGTGTTTCTAAGATTGTAATTGGATTGACAGAATTGGAACAGTTATTTGATAACCTGAAGTTGCATATGGATTCACATTATTTAAGTCATATATTTGGATTCACATAGATATTTGATAACCTGAAGTTACATGTGGATTCACATTATTTAAGTCATACGTAGTATAATTTAGCATCATACAGATTTATATTTTGAATAAGAAACATATAAGTCATATAACTGTTCCCACCCCTGAACATAGGTCATACGTGCAAACCTCGTGCCTAAAAACTGTTAGATCTTCCTCTTCAAAGCAATATAAATTACGTCTCCTTTTCCTCTTCACAAATCAAAGCAAGTTTGTGGCAAATTCAACTTATGAACTCATGTGTACAATTTATTATGTATATTAAATCGATTGTACTTTTTCTACAGTGTATCAAATACTCCAAATAATAGTACGATGCGCTCAAAGAGTCAAATATTCCAGATACCAAGATGCGCTCAAAGAGTCAAAGATTCCGGATATCAAGATGAAATGAGGTTTGAGGATCAAAGAAAGATTGGTCATCGTATCAATATGCTGCAAATGTTAGGAATAGTTTTCTATGGTGAAGAGGTATAAACATTTAATCATATTTTACTATCAAATGACTCAAACACATTTTGGTATTCATCTTTCAAAGGTAGGTTAGAAGAGACGAAGAGTTCATGTCATAAAATAACGGTTGCATTTTTCTAAGGAGCATTTATTACTGTTTAGGAGTACTAAAGTTTGCTTGGGAAAAAATCCAATTTAAGCAGTACTCTTAATACGTATGGTATAATTGGGAAGTATATTTCTTGCCTTTGAATGATACACATGTGCCGTATATATACAAGGTACAAAGACTACCAAAGCCCTATTCTAATAATGATGGCCGCATCCCATATACATAAAGGTAAATACAAAAATGAATTTTAATGAGTAGTCTAAGACCCAAACGTGCCCAACACCCCCCCCTCAAGTTGGAGCATGCGGGTTATAAATGCCCAACTTGCGAAGTAGAAACATAAACTGCCGCTTTCCCAAAGCTTTGGTAAAGATATCAGCTAGTTGATCGGTAGTCAAAACATGCTGCGTAGTGATTAAGCCCTCTTGAATAGCGTTACAAATATGATGACAATCAACTTCAATATGTTTCGTACGCTCAAGACAAACGGGATTCTGGGCAATGTGAAGAGCGGATTTGGTGTCACAGAACAAAGACATGGCGCGAGGATGGGTGACACCGAGGCTAAAAAGAAGACTTTTAAGCCATTTTAATTCTGATGTATGTTGTTTCTTGGTCTTCCAAGAGATAAAGGAATTACCAAGAAACACTACCCAACCAGTGACAGAATGACGAGTGAATGGGCAGCTGGCCCAGTCAGAGTCACACCATCCGGTTAAAGTCAAATCACAAGAGGAGCACAGGAGAATACCTTGTCCCGGAGTGCCTTTTTGGTATCGGACAACCCGAAGTGCGGCATCTCAATGTTGCTGGCGAGGTGCTTGCATGAACTGAGAAAGAATTTATGAACTCTCTAGACCAAATCGGGACGTGTAAATGGTAGATAAGTTAGGCGACCAACAAGACGCCTATAGGATTCTGGAGCAGTGAGCAGCGGACCCGTAGCCAAAGCCAGTGCATGATTCTGCTCGATTGGAAATCCAGTAGGTTTGGCGCCAAGTAGACCAGTCTCAGAGATAATATCCAATCACTACTAGAAAAACAGCTTACAGTGACACTTGTGTAGCGACACTATGGTATCACAAACACAGCTGTGACACTTGTATATCAGTGATTAGGTGACATTATTACATCAAAACATAATAGTGACACTCAAACTCAATTTATTATTTACTCTAGCTTCTATACAGACATTCTTCCTCCTAGCCTCCTCTTCTCTCGTTCACTTCACCACACATCCCCACATTCTTCCTCCTTAACCTCCTCTTCTCTCATTTACTTCATCACACCCTCTTGCAACGGTTGTGATCCCGAGTCTACAAACTCTTGGTTGTTTGGATGCTTGAACGCCGTCGCCACTCGTCGGATGCATCGTCGCCACTCGTTAGATGCATTGTCGCTACTCATCGGATGCATCATCGCCACTCGTCAGATGCATTGTCGCTACTCGTCGTCGGATGCATCGCTCGACCACCTTTAAGGATGGACGCTGTCACCACCTTCTAGACGCTCCTTAGGTCATCGATTCCTCGAAACCTCCACATTACCGTAGCTACAGACATCAGTGATTCATCTCCTTTTTCTTGGGTTTTTCATCTTACAAACGAAGATGCTAACCGGTAGGTAATTCATCTATATTTTCCAGCTTGAACGTGTATCCTTACCTCCTTTAATTTTAATTCTTAGTTTTTAACCTAAAATCAGAATCTTGAAACCATCTAATTGCTTTTTAGAATTTTATAGACTAGCTTTAAACCTATTGAGTTCTATTTATAATTAGCAGCAAGCTTTTTTTTAACTTAATAACTATGGATTTGAATTACCTTACTCATATATTGTATTTCCTCCCTCAAAAAAAAGTCCCTGCTGGTGGTAATTTAATTTAGAATTTTATAGACTAGCTTTAAACCTATTGAGTCCCAAGCTTTTTTTTAACTTAATAACTTAATGTATATGTTTGGTGGAGCATAAGCTATTGATAAGGTTATGCAAATAGATATACAAGCTATTGTCAAATCATTTGACTTCCAAAAATCATTTGACTGCCTTTCCGATTGAATTTTTATTGAAATTTGGTATGGATAAACTAGACTTGATGAAGAACATGCAAACAAAATTAAGAAAAAATACCACCGGGAACCGCCCCAAAAGGAGGAGGCCGGACGGCGCTCCGGTCAGGAATTTCCTGACCGGAAGATCACTCTCTCTCTCTCTCTCTCTCTCTCTCTCTATATATATATATATATATATATATATAGGGGTGTAATCGAGCCGAGCCGAGCCCGAACTTACATAGGCTCGAGCTCGAGCTCGAAAATATTTGCCGTGCTCGAGTTCGGCTCGAGCTCGAACGAGCTCAAATTCTAGTGCTCGAGTTCGGCTCGATGTATTTACCTAGGCTCGAAATCTGCTCGAGTTCGGCTCGAAGCTGCATGAAGCAAAATTTAGCTTCAAGGGGATTCGAACCTAGGTTGCAACACTAACTTTGTAAGGAAAACTCCACTCAACTACAAACCCATTTGTGAATACTTTGAGCTTATGTAATTATTACTCCGTAACTTATTTCATATGAGTTCTCAACATTAACATTAACAATACTTGTGGTGCTATTGTTATAATAATAATAATATTGATAATAATAATAATAATAATAATAATAATAATAATAATAATAATAATAATAATAATAATAATAATAATAATAATAATAATAATAATAATAATAATAATAATAATAATAATAATAATAATAATAATAATAATAATAATAATAATAATAATAATAATAATAATAATAATAATAATAATAATAATAGAATACACACACATAAACACCAAGGCTTGCGAGCCGGCTCGCGAGCCACGAGCCTAAAATAAATAGGCTTGAATTGGGCTCGTTAAGTATTCGAGCCGAGCCGAACTCGAGTCGAGCTTGAATATGACCGAACTTGAACCGAGTTTTTACCGAGCGAGTCGCGAGCGGCTCACGAACGGCTTGGCTCATTTACACCCCTATATATATA